ACTAACACCAACAACCCTATCCCTGCCCACAAAATTATAAATCTAGCAAATAATAGACACAGTTAAGCGCGCCAATGTAGTTTCTCTATTTTCCTTTTGGTAAATAAAAATTGATGACGATGAATAGAATAAATGCTTTTACCAATACTATTTAATGCTAAAAACAATTAATTCATGTAACATAAATTAAAACAAGAATTTTCATATTTCTACTGAGAAAGTCGGCGATAAATCAGATATTTCAGAGAAAAAAAAAAAATCACATCTACTTTAAACTTTGAAGAACTTCAGTAAGAAATTGAAATAGCCTAAATCAAGCAAATAACTTGTTTAACACTGTATGTAATATCTAATAGTGTTCATAAAATTGCTACAAGTTTCTATTATAAAAATCTTGTAAATTATAAAACGCTTAATTATAAAACTTTAAAAACAAATATGCTTATAGAATCTCTATGTAAATACACATAAAAAAGTGATACAACTGGAAAAACAAAATATTTCTCGGCAAAATTTTATGCAGTATAAAATCATNGAAATTGAATCCTAAGCATGGTTATTTTTATCAATTTAATCGATACAGATTTTTTTTTTTTACTTGCGTTACAACGCTTTCAACAAATTATAGCAAGCAATAAAGTAAGAAATCGAGTTTTTTTAAAGTTTAAAATCAATTTTACATTAATTCCAAAGAAGAAATCCGTGTTTTTGTATATTTTATATGGAAAAAATATTGAGAATTTGAAAAGAATATTTTCAGTTTTAACCAATGGACGAACAAAAATAAATTAATTTATAATAAACTCGGTACGAGAAAACAATAAAAAGAATGAAAAATCGGACACGTGATGCATATTTTATGTATCTGGTAGGTTGAAGTGGGATCACAAGAAACAAAATGGCCACAGGAGGACTTTCAGTTTTAGTCATCAAAATTTTCAATGAGAAAAGAGACAGACGAATGAATATTTGAATAAGAATCGTCACGTAAGCTTTGTGTTTTGGTATCTGTTCCCGTAGTGACGGTGGACCATAAATGTCACTGTGTGCTCCATCAGGTTTCTATAAGTGAGCAACACAGTCCAGATTCTGTATGATGGACGACTCGGCAGTGGCAGATGTTCCATGGATTTTATTGAGNTTCTGACATAAGGGAAAACATGTGAAGACAATAAAACATTAATTTTACAGTTCATCGTGAGGTATTAATTTACTTAAAATTTAGTAAATTTGATTATTTATCTGATAATTTTTGAAGAAGATTTTTGAAAATGACTGCAATGAATAAATGAAACTATCTTAAATACGTCTATTTGTACCACAAAAATTCACAAAAATAAATAATTAAGAAGAGAAAATTTGAAATTTTTTTTCTAGTTTTGTGAACATAAATAAGAATTATTCTACGGTTTGATTTTATTTACTATTTTACAATCACAATATAAAAATATTTGAACTACAAATCCCTTATTATTCACTTTTCTAATTTGTAGGTATTAATCATTTCAAGTTACATACTTTTTAAACAGATAAAATATTTTGTATTAAATTACTCTCTCTCTCGCTAAACTCGGACTTTTTCTTAGGAATATTTTTATTTTTTCCCCTTTGAATAATCTTAAAAGAACGATATATTTATCTACTTCAATACTTTTCAATTAGATTAAACTTAATATTAATCGAAAGAAAAGTATTATAAAATATATTTATTTTCGATTTCTCTTCAATCTTTGTTAAGTTTAATAAATCTGGATATATCATCTTAAAATTATACAGATTTGTTCACATCAAATTACACATGGACATTAAATCCGTATCTTTAAGATAACGATAGTCTTTTATGATGTGTAATCTGATTGTAAAAGAAGATAATTATTTTTTTGCAAAAGAGACATTTAGATCCAATACGAAGGATAATTTTTATGACACCGAAGCTGTAAAATGTATTTACGTTCATTTTTTTTCCTTCTTTTTTTAATTAAGAAAACTTCAAATTAATTTAAAGTACCAAACCTGACATTAAAGAAAATGAAAATATTTTAATCCAATCTCTTAGTTAATCGAGTTAATGAAAGAATATTAGTTAATTTTGTACATAAAACTGTGTAAAATATAGCCTACAAGCTTTAGTTAGCCTAATTATAGCATATTTAATATGAAACTCTTAATACTGTAAACTTAAATATAAAAATACGGGCCTAATTCTAATTAGAATAACCTATTAAAACAAATTACTGGCATTTTTATTCTTAGAATGTTTATGAGATTAAATAAAAGGGGAAGTCTCGTGATATGATAAAATCTTAGTAAATCTATGTGATGTGGACAAATTACGATGAGACTTAATATCTTAGGCTATCTACCTAAGATAAAAGCATATTTACAGTTTATCGCAATAAGATGATGCAAACTATGTAAATATTATAAGTAAGTCTATATAAACTGTTTAAATTGAGCTATATCTTAAAAATTTTAAGAAAAAATCGATTATCAGATTTTTAAATCAAATTGTAGAGATGAATTTCAGTAACATCATCGGATTGTGTCATTGGTCTCAATTGTGTCTACCTAGAAGGAAATGAGATAAGAAACGACGTAAAAATTCAAACTGCCTATGGAAAAACATCATTAGAATTACGATAGAATTCGAAGATAGATTCTAATAGTTGGAAATGAGTAATCATTAAACTGCTTTACTAGCAGAATCGTATATTTGTCATTAAAATAGTTTAGTAATCCAAAATTTCATCAATACGGTTTGTAAGATAAAATTTGTAAGATTAAATTCTTTGTTTATAATTTTTAAGCGATTATTATTTCGAACAGCCGTTGTTATAATAATGCTAAATATTTTGAATATGGGGAAAAAACCCCTCTTCTTTTACTTCTTAAATAACAGAAGTACTACAGATGATAACGTACCATAAAAAATTTTGGTTTAAAAGGTTTCACAATTTAATTTTGTAACATTTCTGTTTTGTTCTTTTAAGTTTTAACGTAAGGAAGTTAAATTGATTAGATATTTTCGTATTTGTTATAAGATATTACAATAGGCAAGTTTCAAACCTTATGAGTGAAAGAAACTTACAGCTGAATTTAAGAGTTCTCTTTTACCAATGAAAAATTAGACCTATTCCCAAAGGATGCTGAATAAATATCACACATTAATACTAATTACAATCTATAATTCTGAACAATGTCTTATGGAAAAGTGTCATATTGCAACAATAATGTATATGACGACAACAGCATAGTAATGTTGTCATCATATAGATTTTTATGACCACTGTAAGTACATATTCTTTTGGAAACAGATCTAGTTTTAACTTAAGTTTATTTTCATTCTGGCCATTTATTAATTAATCTCTTCTGAGTGATTAATTTCTTCTGATGACTTGAGATAGATAATTTTTCCTATCAATTTAAATTTATGACTACCAGAGAAGACTACCTTGATGAATCTAGTTGATCAGGCTTTCAACGGTAGGCCCTATTTTTATTACATTTTCATTCCATTCAGACATTACTATCTGATAATTAGTCCTATAAATAATTTATGGAGGTTTTGTAAACGCAAAAATAAAATTTTTTTAATCATTAGCGAAGAAGATACTCTACATTAATAATGATATCACGAAGTTAAAAGCTTATACGATATGCAAACAAATTTAAAATGTAATCTACACAGTACATACATAGGCCTATTCTATGAAACCGTTATCCACATTTTTAATAATTTCACATATTTAAATAATTTAAATACATCAGTTTTTTCATCAAAATTTTTGAATTTTAAAACAATTATTATATTTTGCTATTGCAAATGTTATTTTAATAAAAATAAAAACAAAACCAGATTAACAATTTCTACGGCTTCAGAAAATGAGCCAGAAAATTATTAAGACTGTAAAAGACCTCATACAACTGTAAATTAACTGTTTTCCAGAAACTTATGAGTTTTTACACTCTTATCTAATAATTTCATCGTTTTTGATAATAAAAGCTGGCTTTCCAGAACTATTATAAAAAGAAATTAAATTGCTTCAAAATGTTTAAAGATGGAATCTAAGATAATAATATTCATAGACTACAAGTCTAAGAAATTAAATAATGCTTAACTCTGTTTACTTTAAAATCAGGATTGTTTTTAAGAGAACTTTCACTTCAAAAGAAACAGATAATTTATATCAAGTTTTAACTTTTCTAATAAGATCAGTGATTAAAACACTAAATATAAACTGATTAACATAATATTTTATGCTATATCTAAGCTAAACTTTTTTGCTTCATTCACAAATGTCTTCTAATGACAATTTTATTAAAGTATATTTAAATCGAACCACCAAATACATATAGGCCTATTTATTAAGAATAAAAATAGTTTAGATTAAATTATTATAAAAACGAATAAATTTTCATTGGGTTTCGATAGCATAAATTTAAAATAAAGAATATTTAAATAATTTAATGCTTACTAAAGAGATTTGAATTCTACCCACGTTAAAAGAAACAAACCGCTTAATTAAGAATTCTTAAAAGCACATAAATGTGATGACGTCTGTCAAGTCAAAATAATTAGGCAGATTACCAGGTCTAAATATTTGAAAATGCATGCCGTAGGTCAAATATTCATTTTAGGAGTGACTAAACAACAAAGGTTTCAGCAATTCATCATATATCATCAAGTGACACACATTACGATCTAGAATCTTACTTGAAAGAATAAAGAGGACAGACAAATCCAATGCAGAAAAGAATCGAAGCAACCGGCGTCGAGTCACGCACAAGTATCTTTGACGGATGAGCACATGGTCTGAGGCTCCGCCCGATGTCTTCACATAACGCACCCCACATGTCATGTGCTAACCGTTTCTTCCAATCTGCGCTCCCTCCGGGAAGTGGAATGCCAAACGTTGGCATGTAATTGGTTATCTACACGGTGGGAGGAGTTAGTTATTTGGCGACACCCACCGTATCCAAGTCGAGCATTAAACGAAACCGGGAGAACCAGTGTAGCCGCAGAAGAGAAGCTTAGCAGCGGGAAAAGGATGCTAGTGCCACCAGACATGATGGCAGCTCAGTCAAAGTTACTCTACCAGCTGAACAAGTTTTACGGAGAGAGAGTTCAAATGAGAAAAGCTGCCATTGCTAAAACAGTACGCGAAGTGTGCAAAGTGGTACAGGATGTGTTAAAAGAAGTCGAAGTGCAAGAACCACGATTCATATCTTCCTTGAACGAAGGAAACGGACGTTATGAGGGCTTCGACGTTATTTCTCCCACGGAGTTTGAGGTTGTATTGTATCTGAATCAAATGGGAGTATTTAATTTTGTAGACGACGGCTCTCTACCAGGCTGTGCCGTATTGAAATTGAGCGACGGACGTAAGCGTTCCATGTCACTTTGGGTCGAATTTATTACGGCCTCAGGTTATCTGTCCGCCAGGAAGATCCGTTCTAGATTTCAAACTTTAGTTGCTCAGGCTTGTGACAAATGTAGCTATCGGGACATTGTAAAGATGGTGGCCGACACTACCGAAGTTAAATTACGCATTCGGGAGAGGTATGTCGTCCAAATTACGCCGGCTTTCCGGTGTAGTGGACTTTGGCCTCGGTCGGCCGCGCACTGGCCAATTCCTCATATTCCGTGGCCTAATCCCAATCTTGTAGCAGAAGTAAAAACTGAAGGATTCGATCTCCTTTCCAAGGAATGCATTTCTTTACAAGGTAAACAATCATCGATGGAAGGCGATGCTTGGGTATTAAATTTCAGTGAAGCGGAAAATCGTCTTTTACAGGGAGGTTGTCGCCAGAAATGTCTCAGCATCCTAAAAACTTTGCGCGATAGACATTTGGATCTTCCAGGAAATCCAGTCACTAGTTATCATCTCAAAACATTGTTATTGTATGAATGCGAGAAACATCCTCGTGAATTGGAATGGGACGAAACATGTCTAGGAGACAGATTAAATGGAATTTTATTACAGTTGATATCTTGTCTTCAGTGTCGTCGGTGTCCTCATTATTTCTTACCACAGCTCGATCTGTTTAAAGGAAAATCAGCTAATTCGTTGGAGAATGCGGCCAAACAATGCTGGAGACTAACTCGAGAGCTACTGACCAACTTGAGATCACTCGAAAATCTCTAGGTTTGTATATAAAGTTATAATTGTGCGTGCAATTGATGTGAATAGTTACGGACTAACATTCCCTATTGGCCCGTTGACATTGTTGCTGTCGTGTAATTTATGTGTCAGCCGAGTCTTGTATAATTGTACAGCTATATGATGTTGTCTGTATAGTCAGTGATTTGTACAGAATATACAATTTCTCGTTTGTTCAGTTTCTTCCGTGAATGCTATTGAACACAAAACAAAAATAAGCTAGTCTTCTTTCTGAACTTTAAATTTATTACAACATAACATAGTAGTAGATAACTAACGAAAAAGTGTAGACGTTTCGAATTTCTCACATAAGAAAAAGTAAAAATAGCCATTTTTTTTAATATACAGATCTATAAAATAAAATTTATACAACATTGCTAACCGCTAACTATTTAAAAAGTATCAGAATAAGAACATTTTTACAATTCAAATATAGATTTAAATTAGATGAGAGAAACAAAATTATAATTATTCTGATTTGAACAGGCCTAAACTATTCCTTTGTAGAATTCTAATTACAGGCTACAATGAATATTTAGAAAGATTAATATTTTGTTATACATAAAAATTTTTTAGGCTAGTTGCGATATAAATTGAATTGAATCTAGAAACGAAATTAATACAAAACATATTAATAGTTAAAAATAAAAAGTTTAGGTTTACATTTATTTATATTTTAAATTAATAATTATATATTTTAAGCTAATGAAAAATAGAGTTTTTAAAAAATATTTTTCAAGACTGAATTTTTTAGACAGCAAGTAAATGCAAGCTTAAGTTATGATTAATAACTATACGAATTTGATTACATTGAAAGACTGCGCTAATGTTAAAAGGTCTGAATATATTTAGGCTACACAAAAATCAAAAATTCTATACGTTTTAAATTTAAATTCTCATTTTTTCCAAATATGTCTACGGGGTCTATAACCTTATCAGTATTTTGCGCACATGAATTTAAACAATACGTGATAATGAAATTAGAATGAATGAATGAAAAGCTTAAAACTGTTATAGCTTAATAGTGAATAACGTTGCTCCATCAAACAAAAATTATAATTTTGAATTTTATTTATCCTATTTTCTATGATTTCTTTGAAAATGAGAAGTTTAATTTCAATTATTAACCCATAAATCTACTAAATAAATTTTAAACGGTTATAATTAAACATATAAACCTACATCCAACTGTTTAGTTAATATATCTATATTAAATACGAACCGAGTAATTAAAAACAGTTTAGCAACGAAACAATTTTTTAAATTACTTTTTTTAAAAAACAAAATAGCTATTAAATATTTATTGGCTCAAGTAGTTGGGAGGAATGGGGAGAAACTTGTCCGTATAAACTGATACACTTTCAAACTGATTATAAGAATGAGCTGAAAAATAANTTAATCGATACAGATTTTTTTTTTTTACTTGCGTTACAACGCTTTCAACAAATTATAGCAAGCACTTAATAATACATCATTTGTAATTATAATAACTCTGACTAGAAAATACGTTTATGCAATAAATTTACACCGTAGAAACTATTAAAAAACATGAAATAAAACTCAATCTAGTTACATTTCTGTTTTTCTAACTACAAATATAATTGTGTCGAGAGTAAGGTTATATTATAACAACGTTTTAGTTATGATGAAATTAATTCAATAATAATAATAATAATAATGTCACAGGTAACTTTATAAAGATAAAAATTCAACCATTGAAATCTATGCGCTTTTACAACATTAAGTATTCAAGTTTGAAAGCAAGTATTTTTAGTGGGAAACGCCCTCAGCGATGCCATCTGTCAGTTAGCTACTCGAAACAAGTTTTGAATTTTAAATGAATGCAAGTTTGTAGCACTATTCAGTTAAAATACGTTGCGTGTCTGAGGATTCTGAAGATGAAATCTCTTTCTTCATCTTCTTCCTCTTTTTTCCCCTCTCTTTATCATCATTTTCTTCAGTTCAAAATTTCGTGAATATAACTAAACGATGATGATTTTACAAGTTGTAATTTTCAGATTTCTGTACCTGCTCATTTTTTATGTTATATCTTGTCTTAATAAAAGGTGTGGAAACATAAATTCTTATCTTTATTACACGATGAAGATCATAAAATTTTTTTCATATGAATAAATTATAACAAATTATAATGATATATTTATAATTCTAAATATTACACTGCTTGAATATATCAAAAATAATGTTTAAATACAAATTAAAATATTTAATAAAAATTTAAACAGGAAAAGTGTGCTCCATCAGGTTTCTATAAGTGAGCAACACAGTCCAGATTCTGTATGATGGACGACTCGGCAGTGGCAGATGTTCCATGGATTTTATTGAGCAAATATTAACTAATTACAATTGGACATTGCGTGATGTTTAGTACAAACCGTCTCTACGTAACTTTATTTGTTCATGCAAAAATATAAAATAGTGAAAGTATATATATATATATCAGTAAAAAATAATGTAGATGGGTGACTCGGTTCCAGTTTATATTTACGAAAGAACATTTAATATTTTTCACAATATTGATAGGAAAATATTATATATAATATTCGTAATTCTTTTTTCATTTGATGAAAACGAAAAATTTCTCAATATAAATACACGCCAATGCATCATTTCTTAAAAGGATTTGTCATATGATGGCACGAAATGTCTACTTGGAAAAGAAGATGAAAAAAACGATATCTAAAAACAACTCTTGCGAGTTTTTAAAGCAAAAATATTGATTAAAATAGAAAAAGTTACATAAGTTATAATAAATATTCTCTAAAACACTATTATGGTAAATTTAAATTTTCACATGTCTTAACAGATTTATGCGCTTCGAATCGTTGAAAGATAGATAAAACTTGGTGTTAACGTCTTGTAAAAGATTGAATAAGATATTATTATACGATTTTTATTTACAGTTATTCTGTAAAACACCTCGTAATCCTTGTTATACGGTTTAGAATAACATAGAAAAGTCAAAATTTACTTTAAAGAGTGGTGTATCATTGCCAAGAAAACATCTATGTTGGAATGATTAATATTTTTTTTGAGAAGCAGATGGTCTTTCTCAACACCGTGTTGTACAGAAACTGTGGAATAGTTTGTTCGGAGTCTTTTTCTCTTTCATATCGGAGGAAAAAATATATATATATAGAAAAATCGTCTTTCAATTGCATCAACCAGATCTTCTTCAATTTCCTGTATTTGTCGCTCCCACAACAGAAATCTGGAATTGGATTGGTTTCGATAATATATGAACTCGTTCTTTACATTTTTTTAAAGTGCAAAACATGGAATATAGCTTTAAATTATTATAGTTTTGCTAAATAGTAATTTTCGTTTTTACGCTTTTGTTCCGTAGCTTTAAACTTCTCTTTGGTTTTTTTAAATGTAAAACAGTAAAAAACATAAATTGAACGGCATATAAAACGATTCTTATCTTGAACAGAGATGTTATAAATAATCTGAGTTAGGCACTTTCAATAAAACTTCTTCAGATCCTACATAAATTGCATCAGCGGTTCCTCTCCTGCAGAAAGAAATCATATAAATGGACTGGGAGTGCCAGGAAGTGGCACTTAATATTTACAGGATAAACTTGGTGTAAGGAAAAAAAATCAATTTTTATCGTAAAAAAGTTTCATATGTTTATAATCTTTAAAAAACTTATCATTTATTGTAATACTCTATTGTATTACAATATGATTTGTATATCGAGTTAAAGAGATTTCGATTTAGTAGAATTTATTTATTTATACATTTATAAATGATTATTATTTAAAATTAATAAGAAAGTGGATATCTGTGAAGTATTCCGCGTTTAAATTATACATTAAATCGATATTATTGCTTAATTAAGTAGGCAGTTTGATTACTGCTTATGAAGATTGCCGATGACTTGTCATAATTTATGAAAGAGTTTATGTGTGCCTTTGATCTGAGCGCTGTACTTTCTTTTGCTGTCTTAATATCGTATTTCCTATTAGCACATCCGGTTTGGAAATCCTCCAGAGATCTAAATTCCCGATTGCCTGACCATGCGACGGCACGGAGGAAGACATTCGTTTTTCTTTGACCCACGTTCATCACAATTTATCCCTTATATGACAATGAACGGCGATTCACCCAGCTTATCGATCATGAAAAAGGTCTTCCAATGAAAAAACGGAAAGTTCTAGATGTCTCTCGATAAATTTTAGTGAGATATTCACGCAACTTCGTCACGATTTATCGTTACGGAATCGAAAACTCTATCGGAAACATTAGCAAAAAAAAAATATTATGCGATCGTTAGATCATCAATCAAGAAATTGAATCCTAAGCATGGTTATTTTTATCAATTTAATCGATACAGATTTTTTTTTTTTTACTTGCGTTACAACGCTTTCAACAAATTATAGCAAGCACTTAACCCTTAACTGGTTTCTTGGGGGCCGCGCGGCCCCCACGTGTCATATTTTTACGATTTTCTAAAAATCTAAATATCGTGCGCATCTGCCATTTTATGTAATCTCATTACGTCGCGACTCTTAGCGAGTGCCAAATGTTCGGCCCTGTAGCACTTAAAAAGATGGAGCTACGTACCTTCTGGGGGCCGCGCAGCCCCCACGATACCAGTTACGTTGCTTTTTTTGTGGAAATATGTTTATATGTTTTTTTTATTTTTACAATTATTTTGCAAAGATATCTCAATTTTGCGTCAAAAATTGAAAATGACTACCAAAGAATCATTTGAACTGCTAATAGATGATAATATTATACAAATTGCTAGATCAAGCCGAAATCTCCTGAAAAGAGTATGTTGTCNAACTCTTGCGAGTTTTTAAAGCAAAAATATTGATTAAAATAGAAAAAGTTACATAAGTTATAATAAATATTCTCTAAAACACTATTATGGTAAATTTAAATTTTCACATGTCTTAACAGATTTATGCGCTTCGAATCGTTGAAAGATAGATAAAACTTGGTGTTAACGTCTTGTAAAAGATTGAATAAGATATTATTATACGATTTTTATTTACAGTTATTCTGTAAAACACCTCGTAATCCTTGTTATACGGTTTAGAATAACATAGAAAAGTCAAAATTTACTTTAAAGAGTGGTGTATCATTGCCAAGAAAACATCTATGTTGGAATGATTAATATTTTTTTTGAGAAGCAGATGGTCTTTCTCAACACCGTGTTGTACAGAAACTGTGGAATAGTTTGTTCGGAGTCTTTTTCTCTTTCATATCGGAGGAAAAAATATATATATATAGAAAAATCGTCTTTCAATTGCATCAACCAGATCTTCTTCAATTTCCTGTATTTGTCGCTCCCACAACAGAAATCTGGAATTGGATTGGTTTCGATAATATATGAACTCGTTCTTT